CCCCAAAACCCCAAAACCCCAAAACCCCAAAACCCCTATTATCAATCTTCAAATTGAATTTTAACAACACGAGTTAATTTTCTCTTTAAGCCCTTGAGCATCAATATCTTTTCCGACAAATAAGAACTTGTTCTCAAAATCAGTGTGGTCTTCTAGCAAAGGTTTGATTAATCTTCACTCGAATGTATCGTCAACTCCTTGTAGCAGATATTGGCCAAGTTTTTCATCACAGTCGCGTGCATGGAATAAGCCCTTACATCTGAGAAGAGGGACTTCAGACTCCCAATGAAGCTTTCCCATAAGAACTTCAAAGTTGTCCAGATTTAAGATTCCTTCTGTAATAATATAGGAAGGTGAAATCTCAGCACTATGAGCTGTATGAGAATGTATCTTTAATTCTCCCTCTGATTTCTCTGCCTTTCCAACCGATTCTGAATATCTAGAAGTTATTTCACCTAAAAATACCTTTCAGTAAAGTTCTTTATCTTTTCAGGCGTCTCAATTAGATAATCCAAATCAGCATTAGCATACTCTGTCTGCTTAAGTTCAACTAAAGGATTGAAAGAATTGATCCTGCTAATGATGTTCTCAATCTCTTCGGTGGTAGCTAGATCTACTTTGTTGATCAAGATCTTATCAGCGTGTATTAATTGCTTTTTCAAGGCTTCACAAGTTTCTGAATCTTCAATGTTTTTAGCAAAATTTTTAGCATCAATTACCCCCATTGTGTAGTTTAATTCCAGATTACTCATGAGGCCATCATCAAGCCAGAAAATTTTGATTATATTGGCAGGATCAGCCAAACCATTGGTCTCAATGAAGATGTGTTCAATTTCAGGCTTGCTTTCTATCAAAAGTTCCAGAGTGTTGACTAAGTCATCTTTGACACTACATCAGATACAACCATTCGGCATCTCGTAGAACTCATCAAGGACCTCACCTTGAGCATTAGTCATCAATGGAGCCTCTAAATGGTTAGAATTCAAATACCAATTCCCATATTCTCTGAGAACTCATTCTGAATAATGGCTATTTTCTTCTCTAACGTCGGTAACTTAATAATTCTCTCTATCATCGTAGTCTTGCCACTACCAAGAAACCCAGCGATGATGGTAACTTTACTAAAAAATCAAGCTTCTGGGTTACCTCTTATGCATAATTTCTTCCATTTTCTATATTTGTGTGTAAAATCGGGGTTTTGGGGTTTTGGGGTTTTGGGGTTTTGGGG